TTTTTTTTGCTCAAAGGTGGTGGAGCCTAAGGTTTTTGAGTAGAAGAATTTAATGATGAAAAGGCCAGCTGGATTCCTGGTTGGCTTCTTTCTTTTCTCTTATTAAACTGCTTTTTATAAAATATTTGTTTCTCATGATTGATGGCATTTCGGGTGTTCATGGAAATGGCCCAGCATCACATCATTTCATGATCGGAGGAAAGTGATCTGTTAGATACATAATCTTTTCCCTTTATTTGGTATAGGATACTCATCATATATATTAAAGGCTCTGGCTGGTGAATAATCACTTCTGATCCCTAGTAAAACTCAAAACAAAGAAAATCACCTTGAAACCTACTCAACATAAGTGGGATTTTCCTATTTAGTTAAATCCGTTAAAATAATGGTGTTGGTTGTACCTTCCCATACAATCTCAGTCTCAGATATACAACTTTTTTAGGTAATGCCGTCCTTGTTATGAAATAGGAAGAAGAGTGCATCATGGTGACCAAAGAAAAGGAGAAATGAAACAAAGAACTTGCCAACTGTTTTTACTCTAATTTCTCATCTTGTCGAAGTCCGTATAGAGGGTACACAATATGGAAGAGATATTTGCAAAGCAATGGCTTTAGAACAGACAGAAAAGCATACAACAGTCAATACGGGTCAGTAGGTCACAAGGTTACTACCATTGCAAACTTAGCTCAGAAGTTATGCAAGCCATAATTCTTTCTTGATGCATATTAAATGCTCTTTTATCATATATCAAAGAACCCTAATCAGGAGGGCGTTTGGTCTAGTGGTATGATTCTCGCTTTGGGTGCGAGAGGTCCCGAGTTCGATTCTCGGAACGCCCCGTATGAATTTTGGGCTTCAGATGTCAGCCTCTTTAGGTGGCCTGATAGATTGGGCCTTACTGTTTTCCGATATAGACCAATGTGAAACATTGTGGACAAATTAGCTACTAATAACGCAACCTCATTGTTTCCTTGCATCTCCTGTGTTGAAAACAAATTCAACTAAATCGTTATCTCCACAATATACCACCACTAACTTAAGACTTTGGAAAACAGATTCTTCTTTACGCTCACAACTTGGTTTAACCTTTTGATTGTTTGGGAACGTTGGCTGCCCCTTGAAACAACAAAATATTTCCAAACTTTCTAGTATAAGGTTATTTTACAAAATTGGTTAATTCAGGAAGCCCTCTGATTCTTGCAGTGGGATTATCAGTACCAGGTTTTGATTCCCAAGGTGCCCATGGATCATTCCAAATTTGTAATTACATGCATGGTTTGTATTACCAATGTCTCAACAAGAAAACAAAACGGCCTGAAAACATGGATATTCAAATCTACCAACCCTAGCATTGTTTTACATGGCAAAGAAAAAAAATTCACAAAATTTCTTTATGGAATAACAAAACTGGAGTATTCAAAGTAAATCAAATGTTACATGCTAGGGCATTTGGTCTAGTGGTATGATTCTCGCTTTGGGTGCGAGAGGTCCCGAGTTCGATTCTCGGAATGCCCCCAACCCCCTGTTTCTTTTTTAGCTCATCTTACAATTTGAAATATTGATAACAAAAAAAGGTCTAGCCATAAGTCAACTTTAGAAGTGTAATATAGAAATTTATTGACTTCATCTTTGATTTGTTTTCTGACAAGTGCGTCAGCAATGAATTGCAAAATGTATATAACAAATGCGGTGTTTGCAAGTTGAGCAAGCTAACCACTGACCTGTAATCTGCCATGAGGAATCATTTGAATCTTCCATAACCTGCCCAAAAAACGAAAAGGGGAATCACACACACATGGAATGAACATTCATCTGAGGAGCAGGTTAAACTACCTAATCAACAGCATCCTTTTCTAGGCAAGCAAAACTAGGGAAGAGGCACTGTTGTTTCTCTTGCATTTGGCTTGCAGGGGCCACAACAAAACATTACACAGCATTTTGTGATAAACTTTCTGCAATTTGTCCCGTAAGCTCATCTTTAGACCACTTTACAGTACTATGCACTGTTTTGCAAGCTTTGTGACAGGGAGTAACTAGTTATCTAGCTATTAGTCAGGCATTTCACCACGAAAGAAAGAAAAATATGAATAAATTCTCAAAATTCATACACAACTCGTCTTTAAGTTGACCCAAATATGGAATCAAGTATAAACAACCTTCATTACTATGCTTATAACCAATCCAAGGTCCAAATGCAATTTTAAGAGGCACTGGCATCTGACTCTAGCAGGGAAATTATAACAGAATTACATCAAAAGCAAAAGACTACAATCACTCTAGCAAGGAAATGATACCAGAAACACATCAAAAGCAAGAGAGATGAAACTATGGGCAGCTCAGTTGGTATAAGCCCATTGAAAGTTACACGGAATCCTTAGAAAACTGCTAACAAATATATGCTAATCAAGATAGATATCAAGATTGGGGATTTGGTTTACGGTCTGATTCTCACTTAGAGTGCAAGAGGTACCTCCGAGTTAATTCTTGGAATGCCCCAGCCAAGTTACTTTTTAGTTCCCTACATCACTACTTGACTTATATAATCAAAGAATCTGCTGTTAAGTCAACTCTAAAAAATAAAATAATATAGAGACTTAGAAACTTCAGATCCATTTTTTTGGCTGACAAGATTCCTTTGCAGTGAGTAAAAAATAAATAAATTGTGCTACTTTCACAAGTTTATTCTTGCACCTTTAATCTGATAGTCATCCAAAAAGTGAAATCTGCCTTAAAGCTGCCTAGCAAAGGGCACCAAATAAACAGAATGAATAGACATTTGCAGAGCAGGTTAAAATATTTTACTTAAAATAGCTTATAAAGTCAAGCAAAAATCAGAGAACAAGAAAGGCCAAGTATTTTTCTCCTTTCTGAGTGAGTTTCCATCTTCTGTATCTGCACAAGACCCTATTTTATTCTTTTTCTTGATCCAACTGCCAGGCTACACCATGTGGGCTTGCTCCCCCCCTGCCCACAACCCCAACTCCCTTGCCCAGTAGTGAAGGTGGGACTCAGTCCTACGTGTTTAACAATAACCGAACAACTTTACTAGCCAGACTAACCTATAAAGGCTTTGACATTTAGCTTGAAAAGTTTATTAGGACATATTGTGATTAGGTTTCCGCATAGCTGCCTAATTGTTCTGTAATTTCACTGGTAAAAGTTTAAAACAAAATATTCTAAGAGCACAACAACTTTCAAACTATCTATTTAGCAGTCAGATAGTTCACTGGTTAAAAGAAACTATAAAATTTGGAAAATTCTCAACCTATAGATGTTTTGACTTCCAGGGGATCCATATTCTAAATTAATAAGTATAATCTGGCATCTCTTTATGAAAGAAAGCTTCAACCTGGTGTTAATGCAATTTTAAAAGCCTCTGGCATCCAATTGCAGCAAGGCAATGATAAATTGAACCACATCAATAACGAGAGAGTGGGTCCTCTACAAGTGAGGACATTGAAAATTAACAGGAGCCCTTAGAGAAAATGTATCATATGTATGAACCAGGCATGATACATATAAAAAATTGGGCATTTGGTCTAGTGGTATGATTCTCGCTTTGGGTGCGAGAGGTCCCGAGTTCGATTCTCGGAATGCCCCAATGCTTCTCATTTTGGTTCCCTATATTCTATCCTGAAATATTTGATCAGAGGAATCTGATCTTAAGTCAACTTTAAAACATAATACAGAACTTTAAGGACTTATATTGATGTGTTTCGTAACGAGTCTTCAGAAATATGTGGCAAAGGAAATAAATAAATTAGGCTATACATACTAACTTCCCATGTCGGCAAGCTAGCCTCATACCTGGAATAATGGTCATTAGAAAATGGAAATCTGCCTTAACCCTGTGAAATAAAGGAAACAACAACCTATTTAGCAAAAAAAAAAAAGACCAACAGGAAAGGAATGTGCCTTTTTCTTCCCCTCAGTGAGAAGTATTTCTATTTATCTTCTGACCAATCACCAGCCTACAGTCTGTAGTATGGCCCTCCTCTGTTTAGCCTTATCCTCTTGCACCAATACGCCTTCAACCAAAGGGCAAAACAGGAATCAGACCTAGCTCAATGCAACTACAGAATTGCTTTACAGGTATGTATTTAGCATCCATTGTGCAATTAGCAGACTTTAGTATTCATCCTTCAGAGCCTTGCAAACAAAAGGCTATTACAACATGTCATTTTGTGAACAATCCAGTTTAACTGCTAATTGTCCTGTAAGCTCATCTTTGAACAATTTTGAAGCACTTTACTATGTATTACAATAGCTAAAAAGCTCACAAACAATCTAGTTCTGACCCAAGACTTCATGAATATATAAAGAAAGAAAAGTATGCACCATTTTTTGAAACTTTACTACCCATAGATGTTACAATAATAAAAAAACATTAGACAACAAAAATGGGCATTTGGTCTAGTGGTAT